TGACATAAAACGTAAGAATCTCTCAGGTGTGTAGGGCTTGGGATTCGAGGCTAGGGAACACGTTGGTGGAGATTCTTGTTATTTCTGGGCACGGCGTGTGTGCCTTGTTTTCTGGCCGTTCAATGATCATCGTGGCAACAACGGTCACAGCGCTGCTTCGCGATCTCGTCGCTGATACTACGATTTTTTGCGAGGTCCCTCCATCGTCGAACCACATCCCTTCGGAATACATCGTGCAAAGACCTGAACCCCCAATCCTAAACCCATGTCTCTGACCATCTTAAAAGTTCTTCAGTACTCCATGCTGAAGTTTACGACCTGCACAAAGAACCCATGCATCACAGGAGTTGTTGCTCAGCATGTTCATGGACATCACCAGCATTTTCGTCCCATCTGAAAGTTTTAGAAACTAAGGGACCGAAACCCCAAAACCCGGAAACTCAAGTCTTGAAGACTATAGGATATTTCTTTTTCACCTCCGTCTCGGACCAAAACCCGCCAATCCCCCAAAGTCCCAAAAAGCCCAACGTGCCCCAAACCTCTAACACAACCCCACCCCAACACCGCACGCCACCACTAGAATCCAACCCCCCAACAGCCCTCCCGCAAGGAGCAGACGGGGACCGACTTCCGAAGCTTTGATCTCTTCTGTTCCCCGTCAACGTGCGGCGAAGGCGTCCATGTGCTAAGGGGCAGCGTGATATAGGAGCCTGAGTTGCCGATATTGTTCCTCACATTCCCCAGTATAAGTTATTTATTGTATAACCAGACTCCATAGCATGACATTCCCCAAAGCACGATCCTAATCATCAAGGCCCCCTAAACCGGGCAAGCTGTATCTGCTGGAAGCAGAGGTTGATGCGATAAGAAGGAGCTTGCGCTACCGTCAGCATTATGATCATTATTGCCACTCAGCTCATAAACATTGGACCATCCTTATAGTGCTTTCTGCTGTCTTTGTTCAGTCATGCTTTGGTTTAGCAACGTTCAGTATTCTCATTCTGTGGCTAACGATATTGGTAGCAGTAGCAGCAGGAATAGCAGTGGCAGCAGCAGTAGTCGTGGTCAGCAGGAGTGGTGGATTTCTAGAACTGCTGGGAGTCGAGCAAGTAGTCGTGGTGGTGGCGGTGGCAGAAGAAGAAGCAGCAGTAGTAGCAGTAGTAGAAGCAGTGGCACCAGTAGCACCACTAGCAGCAGTAGAAGTAGCGGTATCGGCAGCCGTAGCAATGGCAGTGGCAGTTGCAGTCGCAGTAGTAGCAGCAGCAGT